GTGCTGTCCAATGGGAGAGACTGGACAGGGGATACCCGTGACCCCTACTGGGAGCTGACCGGTCTCAAGTGGTGGCACGGCGTACTTCGGGATACATCGATTTATCTGCCAATTAAACCTTTGGAAAAGGATCGATAGACAGGGCGTTCGCAACCTTCTATGTCCATTGCAACGTGCACTTGCACTAATAGGACATCTCCATATCCTTTTTGTCTTCTTTGTCCAACGTATTATCTACCAATTTCAACCATCAACCCGCAGGTTTTTTGGAAAATTTTGCTCGCAGTTCAATTTAAATTACATTCCAACATTTCTCCCTCTGAAGACGAACTGCTTGCTTGTCCAACAGAGCTTACATCGATACCCACTAGTTTTTCTCGCCTTCGAGTTTCCTCCGATGTTACCCTTCCAGCTAAGCCTCCTGCGGAAGGAAAAAATAATTAGACGTAGATCGATCGAAAACAATTACCTAGTACATGAGACCTTCTACTGTACAGCGCCCACGAGTAGGGCCTGGGGGTGGGGGAGGGGGCCTACGTTATAAGGCGGAAGGGGATGAGGAAACGGTGGAAAGAGTTAAGCGGAAATGAGGGACGCTCGTTGGCGAGGCCCAAGATGAACCGAAAGACGAACGATCTGTTCGACAAAGAGAAGCCATCTCCATCGCCACCGACCAACAGATTAACTCCTGAAACGTAATAACCGAGTCTTTTACTCGAGGAGTTGCCACTTCGAATTAGAATTCACTCGAAGACAGAAACGAACAGAGATCCTTCTTGTTCACCGCACTAGAAAAAAACACATTGGATCTCGAGTCCAGACTCTTAAAAACATCGACAAGAAAAAGTACTCTTGATTCCATCAGAATCTAGCTTAAATCAAGAACCAAACCTCTTAATTTAAGCGGATGTTGTTATGATTCAAGCAAAAATCCGATTGAATCAAGAGCATTTTTTCTTGTCAATGTTTTCAAGAGTCTGGACTCTACATCCAATGTGTTTTTTTTTCCAGTGAAGAAAATTCATAAGTAAGCATTCTTCACCAACCGATTGCGGTGAACGCACGGGTCGTCAGACGGGATGTAATGAGATTTCAGATTTAAGCTGAACTTTTTACGCACGTTGGCTAAAAAACTCCAACATCCCGTAAGCATTCTTCCGCAAAAATGAGTAAGTTTATGCAAAAACCAAGTCAAATACGCGCTTCATCGACGACAGTTCCCAACAATTGTGATCATAAATCATTCTGGATAATTTCAATTCATAGATTGCGTGCCAGTTTGGGGTCTAAGAGCTCCATCACCTAACCTCAAAATTTTCGACATGTCCATACTCTCCCTATATAGGTACTCTAATTTCAACACGTATGATATCCCTAAAGCGAAAGGGTTAAAAAACCGAAGGTTAAACATGACAACAGCCGCGGATCGTAAGGTGAAAGATTGCGGCCCCGCGTGGAGGCCGAGAGGGCGGGTTACGCATGGCTGCTTACCCCTTCGCGGGGCGGCGGATGGGGGGGGGGGGGTGCGGGAACCTGTTGCTAGGTGGGTTGTAGTAACCCTGGACGGGGGCGACGACGACGAGGCCAGGCAGGGCTCGCGGGGAGCGCTAGCGCCCTGTCCTGTCAGCCACTCGGCCGGTGTGTGAAGGTGTGCTTGTGTGAGTGCGCGCGACTCGCCGACACGCAAGGTACTACTGTTCCTAAGTTGCGAAGCACCTGTTCGCTCCAGTTCCAATTTTCTGGGCCAGACTGGTCCCTCGAGACGTTGCCACGTTTGAGAAGTTCAAATGACACCCTGCAAGATCAAAGGGATCTTGCACGGAAAAAATTCGGATACTGAATAGATCGCAAAGCATGCCACGCCACTGGTCTCTCCCCATATAGGTACTCTCCTAAGAATATATTGAGAAAAAAACCAACGGGCTGTAAAGACATACCGTCCGTGTTTCGGGCTCAGAGGGCGGAAGTTCCGGGCACTACGCCCGGAAAATTCGGCCCCGGAGCCTGAAACGCTGGTGGTACAACGAAAAAATAGCTCTGTTCACAGGGCTCCTGCACTTCTTTTGAAACAGTCACAGAAGCTTCCTTTATGAGGTCGGAATACTGTTCCCACGACAGAAATTCTGTTCTCACAACAGAAAAATTCTGTAAGAGTAACAAAGAAACTGCAGGAGCCCTGTGAATAAAAGGTTCTGTCGTTAGCACCATGTATTTTTTTCTGCGTACGTCTATCTAGCCCGTAAGTACAGCTTTGAGGGTTGGAGTTTTTTCTTCAGTGTACGGCCAGGGCCAGATTAAGGGTGTGGCCCCATGGGCCGCGGCCCATGGCGGCAAATCTAAAGGGGGCGGCAAATTTAGCAATTTTTTTAAATGTAGGTATAAAAAAAAATCAGATTTAGAAATAAAATTACAAACGAGAAAAGGCGACCAAATCTCTCATTTTCTGAGAGTATAGTAATTTCTAATTTTGGCCTGGAACGGCGCGACTTACAGAGAAATGATGAGGACTTGAGATGAAAAGGAGAAGCCCTCAGTGCGGCGATCGGCATGTAACACATATTAGCGCCTACAAGACTAAACGAATACTTCACGCATTGCATCAAACACAGTGCGGTCATTGCGATCAGCGTGAGACAGATACCGCCTACAAGAATGCACGAATACCTCACGCATTGCGGTAAACACAGTGCGATCAGCGTGAAACGCATAGCGCCTACAAGAGAGCGTGAATACTTCACGCATTGCGTCGAACACAGTGCGGTCTGCGCAGCGCGGCGGCGGAAGTTAAAATCATTAACCCACATTTTATGTTTGTTCTTTCATAATTTTTTCGTTCATTTCTTATGAATGGAATGCCTTGTCCACACCGCAAAGGTTCGTGAACTTTTGATAGTAGTGTTGACAGGGCTTTCCCAAAAATGTGTTCAATACGAGTAAACGCGTCTTCTGCACCCCTCCTCCGCTGGCACGTTCATTTGATGGTTTCTTATTGATGTTTCAAAACGAATGAGAGGGGGCGGCAAGTAGATAAATCTGGCCCTGTGTACGGCTCTTAAACTTATGCACTGAAAAAAGAATCTCGGTGTATTTACTAAGAAAAGGGTATAGTTACCAAGAATTCAGGGTTCTATTTGTTCCCGGTTTTTTCTTGGTAAAATCATTGAACTTTCTCGGTAATTTTACTGGACCTTGGTAAAAACGCCGAAATTTCATATCGACTGTGGTAGAATTACCGAGATAAAATGGCAAAGTTATCGGGAATTGATTACCAATAAAAGTGGTATTCTTACCTGGAGAAAACAGTAAAAATACCGGTTTTTAGGTAAGCTTACCAGTCTGTCTTGGTAAAATTACCAATAATTGGTAAAAAAAAGTGAGATGGTAAAGGTGCCAACGGACCTTGGTAAAGACGCCGAGAATTTTTTTTCAGTGCGGCTCTTAAACTTATGGGTTACCCTTCGGACCTATCTGGCAAGGATGCAATCCCTCAAGCGTCGGAGTATTGCGTCAGCGGGCAGTAACATGTCCATTAGGTGTCGCCCTCTCGTTGTTCGGGCCGTGCGCAACATGCGTGACGTGTAGTGACTCATGCGAGCGCGGAGTCGTCCCTAGGACAAGACGCGAGACTCGAAGGAACGGCCGAGATGACAGAGCGTGGAAAACTGTCCCTGGCCCTTCCTTCGAGGATATTCATGTTCTGAGTATAAAAACCAGGCTCCGGATCAGTGAGCGCCGTCCGAGATCCTATCCTTGCGCTGGTGTTCATTGTGGGAAAGTGAGGTCATGCGAGCTTATCATGTAGGCTTCGATGTCAAAGGGGTTTCGCTCGCGATGCCTCGCTGGTTTTCGATGGGATGAATAAGACCTGGTAATGGACCGGTCGCAAACTTAGTGTTTCCATAATTTCTTCATCTTCGAATTCCCTGACTTTCCCTCGACTATGTTTGCTTTTCCCTAACTCTAAAATTTTCTATTTCCCTGACAATTGAACAAAATTTTCACCCCCTTCACCCCCACCCCTTGAAATACGGTACCTTTTCCTAAACTTTGGACGAAGCCTTCTTCAGATGTCAAATGAAATATGAAGACCAGATGGACCATGTGTCAGAAATTCCCTGAAATTTCCCACAAATTCCTTAACTTTCCCTCATTTTTCCGGTATTCCAGACCGACGGGAACCCTGCAAACTTCAGCTAGAGCAAAAAGAGGAGTTGCTTCGGAACGAAAATGGCTCAAAAATCACGATGAGCGCATTGGGTAAGTCTGAAGTATACTCCTAACTTCACCATCTGAATAAAAAATATGCGTTTTTTTTTTTTTTTAAGATTCTCGATCCAATACTATGGCACACGTGAACATTTTTTAAGAGAAGGCGTTCCATCCAACATCCATCGTAGCATAGTGAGCAAGGGTTGGCTGGACCGAACGACTCCTCTTGCGAAATGTTCACCTTTGCCGTTCAATCGTTTCTGAAGCGGGACGCTTAAAGAAACGCAAATTTCCCACGCAGAAAGTTCAGTTATACGAGTAAATTCCAGACATTGTCGATGCGCTCATCGTGATTTTTGAGCCATTCCCTAAAAAAATAGATCTTCTCTCGGCTCTGGCTGAAGTTGGCAACAGACCCATATTCGGACGGAGTTAAACAGAAAGGAACCAAGCCACATCGGGATCGAACCGAGAGAAAGAGGTTTAAAGTTTGGCTACCTGCGTGAGACTCAATGTAAAAGATAAACTTCAAGTTCAATTTCTGCAAAATTTGCTCCAACAAAAACTTTGAATTTTTGGCGATAGATAGTAGAGCAGTGGTTGAGTTCAAAACCACTCATAACTCAATTTTTTCCAGAATGTGGGTTATGGTTCTTTTCTGCTTAACTCAGCCCATTTGCAATCTCGTTTTTCATGGTGTTTCATTTCTATCGGAGACGGCGAGACTTGAAGCATGACGGAGTGTCATTTTCGATAAAATTAGTATCATGGAGGGTGTGAACAGTGCTTACCTGGACAGCGCTGTTGAGGAAGCAGTTGTTCTGCCCCGGGCCGTTGAGGAGTCCCTTGGAGCCTGCGACGTGAGAGTCGCACGGCGACGTCAAAAGGGACATAACCACCATGACGTCATCCCTCATGACCGCCGACGTGACGTCACAATTTCGCCGTCACGCCTCTCGCCCATCCTGGAACACACGAAATTATGACAAAATTCAGAATCTGTTTGAAATATTTTAACTATTTTTTCAGTCCGCGAAAAAGTGAAAAAAATGAGACAAGAATAAGAAAAAAAAAAAAAAAAGCAAGCCAAGGAAAAGATATAATGGAAAGAATCCCGACTAAAAGACGTCGTCAATTGAGTTCCTGGAAGGTCGATATTTCTCCTCAGTACTAGGAGTAGAATATTTAAACGAGGCACAGTAGATTGAGTCAAGCAGAGAAGTCGAATATGATTTTCAACAAGAAACTGCAAATTTTAATGTTTATTTCGTCACATTTTAAATTTCCAGGGGTACTTTCGAAAGAAAATTCTACGAGGAAACCAATAAACCAACGGAACCACTTTGAGAACCTCAAAGTTTGGTATAATCGGAGTTATAAGCGTTTAAGGTTTCCAATTTTTGCCCGACCACTCCCATTGACTCAATCCACTGTGCGAGGTCGGGATTTGAGGGTTTCCGCTAATCTGGAGGGTTTTTTTTTTTTCTTTCTTTCTTTCTACCTTTCTTTTTCTTCGAGATTGTGAGACAACCACCTTTTTTAGGTGTAAATTATCTTCATGTAAAGGTACAACACGATTCACGATTCACAGCACGCCCAGTCATCACAAATTCCCTGACTCTCACCGATTTTCCCGTTTTTCTAGACCGCCGGAAATCCTGATCTAAGGAAACCAGTGGTAACATCATGTTTCTTGAGAGGTTTTTCAAAGGAAAACGTACTAACTCGTATCATCCAAGAGCTCCATTCGGATATTCCTTCATTGGAAAAAAAACACATTGGATCTAGAGTCCAAACTCTTAAAAACATCGACAAGTAAAAATATTCTTGATTCAATCAGATTTAAGCTTAAATCAAGAACCAAGCCTCTTAATTTGAGCGAATATCCTTTGATTTAAGCTTAGATCTGATTGAATCAAGAGTCCATTTTCTTGTCAATGTTTTCAAGAGTCTGGACTCTAGATCCAATGTGGTTTTTTTTTTCCAGTGTTGGAGAGTCCTATCGACACCATACGAACGTGTAAGTTCGCACTATAACTGTAATGCTGATGAAGGATCTCAATTCGTCTCTTCACCATACATTCATACAGTCTTTAAAAGGCAATAACGGATGATCACTTGGGCGTGTGATGCCCACTCAGCTTTCACGGTCTCGCCATCATGAACCTCTCCTTGCGGCGGCGTGAAATTCAATAGCCACTTTAAAACGGTTCTGAACCTTTCAACTCCTTGAAAAATCTGAAAATTATTCATAAATATCGCGAGGGATAACTCGGACTGAGTCGAACAGAAAAGAACCAAGCCACATCAACTATTGCCAAATTCAATCGGGCAATTTAAATTCGTACGAGAGAACGTTAATGAGGATTCTTTTGAAAATTTTAAGGAGTTTGCTATGTATTGTGCAAAAAATTCACTGAAAGTTGAACAAAATTCTGCACAACCGAAATCCTGTAAAAACTTAAATTGCGCAGTTAAAGTTGGCAATAGCTGATGTGGCTTGGTTCCTTTCTGTTAAGCGCGGTCCAATCTTGAATTTGCAAAACCGAATAATTTTTCCAGCGATGAAGGAAAACCTTTCTTGCAGATCCCATCCATCTTTCTGATGACTTCTTTGCGCCGCGCCGGTATGTCGGTCCGACCGGTTGTCCTTCTGCCGAGTGCGAGGCACGATAGATCTACTTTCGATAATTCCACAATTGAAATTGTGGTAAAGAATCGATTATTGAGGAGTTCGTTGCAAACACACCGTTTATTGATACTTTTCCACAGGTTTAAATGGCAGATCAATCGATATACCGCAAAACACGCATGCCATTGCCTTCTGCCTCTCGTTTTGATGTGGTGCTCTTAGCATGGGTGGACAATATTTTCATTTCTGTTCATCTTACGTGTGGGCAGTCGTCAAATAGCGTTGAAATATTGTGTGTTGCCGTTCTGGCAGAAGAAAAGATTCCATCAAATTTGAGAAGAGATTGATACTTTTTAAGACTGTGCGAAAAAATTCCGAGACTTCCGTAACTTTACGAGACGTTAGCTATACGTACACTGGAAAAAAAAAAAAAAAAACACATTAAATCTAGAGTCCAGACTCTTGAAAACATGAACAAGAAAAAATACTCTTGATTCAATCGGATTTTTGCTTGAATCAAAACGAAATCCGCTCAAATTAAGAGGCTAGATTCTGATTGAATCAAGAGTACTTTTTACCGTCGATGTTTTTAAGAGTCTGGACTCTAGATCCAATGTGTTTTTTTTTTCCAGTGTATTCTCCTCGCACAAAAGAACGTATCTCAATTGGATTACATTTTGCAAAAAGGAACCATTATTTCTGGTCCATTTTAGAAACAACATACATGTCATTGGTTTTCCTATGCGAATAACTGATTTTATGGGAGAGCCAGAAATAGTGGTTCCTTATTTCAAAATGTAATCCAATTGCGGGGTTTTATCCCAGTCCGTTCCTTCAATTTTTTTATTTTTATTTACGGGAGAACCGTCACACGAATTCGCCTGAGATTTTCAGTGATTTAATGTTTACGCTTCTGAGAAAAAGACCCTACAACCCTCTTAGAACAAATTTGTACGACGGCTCTCCCACGAAAAACTATAATATTTGAAGAAATACTGGAACAGCGAGACCGAGTTCTTATCAGAACTATAAATTCGCAGGCAAATATCGTCAACTTTTCCTAAAATATATGTTTTTTCGGGAGAAATTTTGCAGCATCCAAAATTTCATACCGTGTTTTTGTAAGTATGCGTTTAAGAGCCGCTCTCCCGAACGCGCTGCTAAAAGTAAATCTTTGTCCGCGCGAGGCGTGAATGATCGATTTATCGATATTTCCCCCATTTGAAGCTATGGCAAAGAATCGACTATTACGGTGTTCGTTGGGAAAACCCTTCTTATCGATCCTTTCCCACATATTTAAAAGGCAGATCAATCGATACATCGCAAAGCACGCCACGCCTCTGTCGCACGAGACACAGAGACAAAAACTAAATAAATATTTGATGGGAGGCAACTCGCATCGACGTGTGTTTGTGTTTGTTTTCATTTTCGCGGCCCACGGCCTCGCCGCACAGTGGATCGAGTCAATAGGAGAGGTCGGACAAAATTTGGAAACTTTGAACGCTTATAACTCCGTTTACACAAAATTTAGATGTTCTAAAATTGGGTCCATCGGTTTTCTCGTGATATTTTCTTCTAAAAGCACCCCTCGAAATTTAAAATGTGACAAAATAAACGTCAAAATTTGCAGTTTTAGTAAATAATTTTATGTCCGACCCCCTTAATTAACACTGAAAAAAAAAAGGGTCAGATTTTAGCCGAACTGGTCAGTTCAGCGGCGATAAGGCTAATAGGCAAACTGTTTGAAGTAGGAAACAAAACCTTTGAGCTCCTAGCATAACCAAGTTTATGTGCTATCTAAACCCTATTTTAGATTCATCACAAACCTAAAAGTTTATGTTGTATCTAAACCACTTCTAGGTAGTAGCTGAACTAGTTCGGCTATAATCCAAACTGGCCATATACCGTCACAAACTATTTAGGCAGGTGCAGTGACGAATCACGTGCGTTTAAAAAAGTCCGTTACTTTTTCAGTCTCAGTTGAAATGCTAATGGCGTCGCGAGTCGGTCGTATCGAGTCGGTTAACGAATTAAAAGTAATAAAAATTGATTATCTCAAGTGCTGTGCTATTTCAAATTCACCGCTCACTCTCGGAATCAGTGGCGCTCTCTGAATGCAGTAGAACTTAACTCTCAGTCAGTCAGTGCTGTTGACTTGACGTCAACAGAAACTGATAACAATAGCACCATCCCGGTGGGTGAGTCAAGGTATTATGTTACTAATTTTTTAATCATTAAACTAAACACATCTGAAAGCATTATTGCTGATCTTTAATCTTTCAAGTAAACCAGTATTCCTTCGTTCAAGAGTGTAGATGTTTAACTAATCTGTCCGTTCGAGCGGCGTGCTGCGTGACAAGAATTCGCGATGAAACCGGAGGACTTTAGTCTGACAGTGATTCTTATCATCAGTTTGTTAAATCAAGAAACATCAGCATTATCCAAATCATCATTTGATCGCTCGATATCGGTGTTATTGTTTTAATACATGGGATAGTAACAGTGTGTACCTATCTGTGAGTTGCTCGTAATTAGAATCAGGACCTCATGTATGTATCAAAGCTCAATATTTTGGTTTCTTTCAGCGGCACATAGATTTTAAGGTGACAATTTTTTCTCAGGTAACTCATCTGAAATATTTTTAACTTCGTATAGCAACTTAGAAATCAATTTACATCTCCGCTCAGCGCCAGAACACAATTGTTTATTTTTCATTAAAGCTAACCTCAAAATATGTTTTCATTCTTTATCCGCCTTGGTTTTTCATAACAGTCACTGCGTATCCAATATATCCATGAAATGGACTGTATTTTGTAGGAAGGTACCAAGTCGCATCAAAATCAAATTCAGGCAAAGAGGTTCAAAGTTTTACCACTTCATATGACTCAACCAGAGATTAGTTCTGGAGGAATTCTTTCAAAGGCTGCCCTGAAATCATTTTATTTCAACTCATTTCTCCATCTTCTCTAGAATATCGATCCATCAAACCTGCTTAGTTCAACATTATAGTTTCTAGCTCTTTACTGCAATTAAATTGCGGAACTATAATTTGACAGTTAGCAGAATATCCTTCAATGTACCCACACTTCCAACCTGCAGAACTTACTTTGCAGATAACTGAACAACAATGATTAGCACGGAGGAGAAGTTCGTAAGTACTTAAGTACATATACACCTACTAGCAACTTTACATATCTAGCCCCATTTTCAGTTGCAATATTAATAATATGTTTCATTTTCATGGAACCGGTTATGACTCCAGGTTTGTCTTCCTATAAGCTGTGTTTTTCTGTGCCCATTATTCAGGAGTCAAGAGTAGAGGATTAGAAGTCT